TGATCGTGTCTTGGTCGGACGGGTGCACAGTCGATCTGGCGGGACCATCTGCTTAGTATCAAGGCGATGGCAACCCCGGGCAAGCCACAACATGAGACTCGGGGAGAGAGTGAAGCGAACCAGGTCAATGTGCAACAGCCTCACGGTGCTTATTATGTCGCCGGTGTGGTGGGCATCAACTGTAGTCAACGTCGGCGCTGCGGACTGTTTGGGGGGGTACCGGAGGTTCTCTGTGATGGAGTTGGACAGGAAGGACTGTACCATGAGAGGATTCGGGCACATATAACTAAGAGATTTCCCGCGGAGCAGTCCCCCGGACTAATACTGACGACATGTACTGTGTCATGGAGGCGAGTCTCGGAGGGATCAGGACAAGAGGAAAATTCCCGTCAAGTCTCCATGGCGCCTCCGGGGGAGCCTTGCTGGACAGAGCCGGCAAGCTTCGACAGCTTTCAAAGCACTGGACGCTACATGTTTCGTCAAACTTGCCCGGCCTTGTCGATAAACGTCCCAACCATCTTGAAAGCATGATTTCCTGAAGCAAGTGGTTCACAAGAATAAACAAACGCCACAGACCATTCTGATGTCTGCTCACGACGCCCGAAAAAGATGGTTTTGCAACATCAGACGATATTAAGCGTTGACAAGGAGCACCTTGACTCGTACCGCCTCCCACGCTCAGTGTGTGGTGAGTTGCACGTAAGTATGGCATACTTACTGCGTAGGTAGGGAGGTCTGAGCGCAGGTCTCTCGAGTCGTGAGAGAGCACCTGCGTCTAGGATGGTGCCGGCAACGAGCCGGCACCAAGCCGAAGGACTTGCGCGCGGAAGATGGCACACGTTTTGTGTGACACGGAGGAGCGGGATGCAGATCGGGTCGCGAACCACTCTTCGGCAGTTGTCCGTTGCCGCCGCCGCCGCCCGGCAGGACACCAGGCCGCAAAATAGACTGCCAGAAAACAACGAGGAAGATAAAACCGCAAGGTAGGATCAGAGAATTTGAGTGGCACCCGGCCGGCCCCAAGTAGAGAGCCGGACGAACTAGACAGACGGATGCCCCTGGGGAGCGAAGCTTTTGCCCCTGCTTCATAGCGTCTGGTCAACCTCTGGTGATGATCCCTTGCCCGCATGACAAGATGGGCTGCTTCCCAACGTCGCAATCCACCCGACTTGACCCTATGCAGACGCCTTCGAGCCAAGCCAACGCCCTTATGGGCTCTGGTTGAAAAGCCAAGAGCTGGGAAGCGAGAAGAAGAACGTCAGGGACCTGACCTGGAGTTTGATAATGTTATCTTGTATAATGGGAGTGCAAAGGAGTGGAGCGGGTACTATGATATGGAGCTTTAGGGGTTTGTGTCTGGAGGGTTGGATAGGGCGACTTAAACAGACTGTGATGCAATGTCCATGTTGACTTTCAGAGTTGGACGGCCCTTGATCGAGCCATGCCATCTTTGCGGACGGAATTGTTCTGTGCTTGGTTTAGCAGAGTCTCTGTTAGCAGCAAGTACAAGTTCACAGTCTCTCCTGTTCAGACACTTGAATGATCAACGGTTCAAAGATTACTCATGTCAAGGCATATGTACTCATGGGTAATTTACAATCTACACCCAAATATATACAGCGAAGAGCCCCCCATCTTGAACCCCTGGATTGTCCCCTCATCTAAAACAGCCACCCAAGCAAAAGGTCCCAGATGGAAATCTTGACCTTGTCCACGCTCGGGTGCGCATTCTTGGTCAGGTGCTGCGCGTACTCGTCGTGCCAGGCCCCCGCCTTGGGCGCGCCGGCGAAGCCACACTGCCCGTCGCTCTCGCCACCCGGCTTGATCCACACCAGGCTGTCGACGTACGGGTTCTCGGTCTTGGTCGTCGGCACCTGGCCGAAGCCGGCGGGCGACACGTTACACCATTCGCCCCACTCCTTGCGGGCGCCGGGGGCGTGGACACGGCCCTGGTCAACGAGGAAGTGCGCCGGCAGGCCCTGGGCCTCGAGGAAGGGCGCCAGCGACGTGGCGTAGTGCGACTCGTCCCAGCTGGGCGACCACTCGGTGTAGTTCTCGCGCACCGTGGCGTTGAAGGGGTTGTAGTTGGACACGTTGGTCGAGAAGCCGCGCACCGTCGTCGCGTTGGTGCCCGAGATCTCCTTGGCGCGGTTGACGGCCTTGGCGAACTCGGCCGCCGCGAGCGGGAGGTTGTCGGCCCAGCCCAGCCAGCCGCCGTGGGCGGCGTCGATGTAGAGGTGCACGTTATCCTGCTGGAGCGCGGCGATGGCGTGCGCGATGCCCTCGGTGTAGATGGGGGCGGCGCGCGCGCAAAGCGGCACGGCCATGTTGGTGACGAGGTTGCCGAGCGAGTCGGGCTCGAGCACAATGGCGAACTCGAGGTCGGGCGCCGCCGACACCTTGGCCACGTAGGGCTTCAGGAACTCGTCCTTGTAGCGCTGCAGGCCGTTTTGCGTCGAGTCGAGCTCGCCCGCGCTCTCCCCGGCGCTGCAGTCGCGGTCGGGCAGGTTGTAGAGGACCAGGCCGATGATCTGCTTCTTGCCCGTGCGGCGCTGCTCCTTGCGGGCGGTGGCGATGGCGCCGTCAATGTTGGCGAGCTCGCTCAGGCGCGACACCCACACGAACGTGCTGACGGCTTGCACCTTGCGTACGCGCTTGGCGTTGGCAAAGTCTTTTTGCTTGATGAAGGAATTGTACGTCTGGTCCAGCTTGTCGGCCCACACGGGGTTGACGTAGTGGACCTTGCCCTCGAACGGGTTGACGTCCTTGGAGGGCTTGGAGGGCTTGGTGGGCTTGGTCGGCTTGGGGTGGAGGATGAGCGAGGAGGCGTCGTCAGCGGGCAGGGCCGAGACGGCGCCGGCGGCCGAGACGGCGGCGATGAGGGCGGTGGCGGCGCGCATGGTGGCGATGTGGTGGGAAAGAGTGGCGGCAACGAGGACCGAAGCGAAGGACTAGAGCGAGAGTCGGGAGCTGGACTGAGCTGGATTGAGCTGGAGCAGAAGCTGGCTGAAGAGAAGGAGAAACTTCATGATGGAGGCGTCTCTCGTCTTATATGTTGGGCCGCCGCTGTCCAGTTTCCATCGCGGCTCCGCCGGCAGGGCTCACCTCATGGGGCATTCAGGGCAATCTGACCGACGCAATCGTGAACGTCTATGTCGGTGGCACATGGCCATTCTCGAAATGCCAACGTGGGTTTGTCGGATCTGGGGATGGGTTCGTGCCGACGCGATGGCGCCCAAGAAAGCGCGCGGAGATTTGACCCCGAAGTTGCGAGGTCCACCCGGAAGCAAAAGATGTGGCCAAGTCGGTGCGTCTGCCGTCGTCTCCGGGTTCGCGCCCGTTGAGCCGCAGCACTTGTGGTGGTGCCCATCCCCGGGAGCCACCGTTGCCCCCCAATGCAGGAACGGATGTCGACTGCCACCCATAGTGAGTCGGTATTGCCCAAGATCTTGGACTGGTGTGTTGTGGCCCGCTTCTCCACGATGGCCGGGTGTCGCAGCGTCCGAGGGCGGGATAGCGGCTTCGCTTCCTGACGATGGACCCCGGAATAGGCCACCGCGTCGCCCAGTCGTTGAGATTGGGCTCATGCCGTCACCGCCAAATACCCAAACGAGATGCCATGATGATTCCTCACTGATAGCATTCGCTGGGAAGTTGTGTCGTTATGGCGTGGCTTTGGTTGATGATTCTATCCGCACCTAGTTAGCTGGTATCTGTGTTTCACATTCAGCTCGCGCTGGAAGCTCATCTCGCCCCATCGATTGTCAAAGACTCCCTCTGGAATTTAACACTTAAGTTCCGCACCCAATATCGCGCAGACGCCGAGACGCATTGGCGCCATCATCGCATCACCTGATGCAAAGGTGAGATGCTTTCTCGTTGCGACTCCCTGGCACCCCGGCAAGGTTCGGTAAATCGGAACACTTCTCCAGGTCGACGAGATCTTGGGTGTTACCGAGGTCTTGGTGGAGCTTGGAAGGGCCGCTGTGCCTGCCAAGGAACCTAAAATGACAAGGGCTATTCGTAGGGCCATTTATCTGATTTTGGGGTAGCAGTGCATCTTTCAACCTTGATCATCCTAGTCTTTTTATATTGGTGCAGTACTAGGTGGTATAGCACGATGAAGCGAACGGTTCCTGGAGTCCGGGGGCACTTATCTCAATACTCAACAACTTTGGAGAGCCTTAAAAGGTTCACGGCAACGTATTAGAGAGAGCCAACTTGACTGTCCGCAAGGCTAAGTGAAGGTCAGACGCATGACGGGGCCTAGTCTCTAAATAAGTCAAGACTTGAACTGAAACTTGAATCCCAGGCATTATTCCAGTTCCCTCACCATCTTCTGCTAGATGTAAATGCATACAGGAAAGGGGGAAATGGAAAAGAACAAAAAACATACAACACCAGGGATTCGCTGGTCGTCACCGACCCAACTACTAGTCTGGCCCTCACTGGCTTATCTATGGGAGAGCGGACGGGATCCCGAGCTTTCCAGTGGGTATGGTCGTATGTGTTGGAATCAAGCGGAATACCTCTTTATATATGTCTTTTGTTGCTAAAGCTGGATGGGAGACTCGGGGAAATCGAAGTCCTGCTTCGATTTAACTGACCTAGGCAGAAGGGACATCCCTGAGGTCATCGCCGCTATTACTAGTCTGGAATCTATTTCCTCTCGTTGCGTTTTAAGTTACCCAAATTACATAGCATACGTAGACATTCCTCTCGTAGTATTGCTGCGATGGATCTATGGTACCTTTCTTCCGCATCAGATTATTGCCCGTCCATGTGCAGTTGCCAACACAGGTCTCAGCGGGAGGATGGAGTCCGACCTAGGACCTAAATGCCGTCGTTTCCAAGCCGGGATGTCGCATCTTGTCTCGACCCCCTCTCCATCTCTTCGGAATATCTTGGGAGGTCTTCATTTAAGCTCTCCCCACCGCCAAAAAGTGAAAACAGAGGCAAAAAGATGTGTAAGAGAAACCGCACACCTATATCGTTGGGTATGCCCACTATCAGAATCGAACTGATGACCTTGTCATGGATCCGGAAGCACTGCAGGACAGGGATACTAGTGACACGCTCTACCACTGAGCCAAGCGGGCTGACTTGATTGATGTGGATGCAGGCTGAATGGCTCTACATGGTGTCGCAACTCCAATTGAGCCTCACTCGGTCCCCAATCGACAATGGTCTGCTCAAATATAAGGAATCAATGCAGAGGATTTTCAGGGAATATATTTTTTCTCTCCGATGCCCTGTCGCCGCATGACGTCGACCAGATCTCCCGGAGCCGCAAAGTGCCGGCTACCCCCGGTTCCCGGTCCGGATGCAAGTTGCCCCTTGTCGGCCGGTGTCTTGTCCTCATTGTGATCATGGCGGGGACGAGGCAAGGACCCTAGGGAGCAGCCAGCCACACGCGTTACAGACCGAATCCTATCATCCAGGGCCCGCGCTGGCCGCGATCCTTGAGGAGCTCTAGACCCCTGAGCCGCAGCGCCAGAGCCCCTGTCGAGACCGCCACCGGGATTCACCATTGCCATCGTGCCGAGTTGGCGATCCGCTAAAATTCCCGCCTTCTTCCGACACCCGAGGAAAAAGAAACCACACCAGGCCAGACGACAATCTGATTCTTATCTCGGGACCTGGCCCCCCTGCGACGCCGATGAGGCCGTTGCCCAGGCGCGGGGGGCAATCGTTAGTCGCGGGCCAGGCGACGTTTGTGGAGATGATTCTCTGAGCTTATTGCAACCTCGCAACCTCGCAACCCCCACCAGCTCGTCGTGGAGCGCGTGGGAGGGCGTGAAGACGCCAAAGAGGAGGCTCTTCAGGTGTCGCCGCCAAGCCAAGACGCGGCGGGCGCAAAGCAGCAGTCATCAGGGGGGCGTGGTCGCACGACAGGACAGGTCCGAGTGGTGCATGGAGCACGACTTCGAGAAGACCCAGCGCCTGGACCGCCGAATCCTCAACCTGCAGCCCCCCTAAGTTCGGGTGCAGATGGTTCCAAGGCCATTCTCGTCCCAACACCGACCGGTCAAGAGATTGGTGGGTCACACAGGAGACTGTGCAAGCGATCGTGCGGATACTTTGAAGGCTCCCGGGTCTCGGTGGCAGGGTGGCATTGTTTAGTGTCTGTGCGGGACCATAAAAATAACCTCGCGGAATCGTGGTGCGATAGCTGACAGATCTGGTATCTAATCTCGCCCTCGTCTCGGGAGCCTGGGGAGCTGAGGATTGCTGGTGGTGCGGGTAGAAGGGCAGAGGGATGAACGAGACCGGGCACGTCGGGCTCCCGCGGACCAGAAGGATCTGATCTCGCGGAAGTGGTGCCGGGCGCGATGGAGGGTGTCCCAACAAGAGCCCCAACCGTGGTACCGAAAGGCGGGCTGGGATCCCCAGGTCTGGTTCACCAATCCTGGGACGCCGTCCTGGGCCGCGAGCGAGGTTGGCCGACTCGCCCCGAGTCTTGTGCCGCTTCGCTGCTGATATGGGCGTCCGCCGTCCAATATGAGGCCAGCCCCCTTGCAATTCCCGCGCCGCTCGTAGCTGGGAACCACGTCCCCGGCGATGGAAATACAATGCCTTCTAGGACCCTTCGATGGCTGTAACGCTGGACCCGAAAGTCCAAGCGCAATGCCACGACGGCAGATGCCCGCTGCGCCCTGCGAACCAAACGGCGGGCTGGCGCACACACAGACGGGGAAGAGGCTGCTGCCCAAGCGGGCTTCTTCTTCTTTTGTCCCCCCTGGCCCCACGTCCGTCTGTCCAACGTCTCCTCGGATACCTCGATCAACAGACAAGCAGCATACCGACGACATCAGACCCCATCGATCTACCGCAACCCGCTACGACCTCGACGCGACCGGCTCTGGAGCTGGAAAGAGAATGAAGGATGATGGGACTCGGTGAACGGGGCACGCTCAGTACGGGCACGTTCACCAGCATCCCGCCCGAGGAGCTGGCCAAGATTGACTTTTCCGACAAGTCTAGTCTCTCGGAGTCAGTATGGAATGTCAACATAACGTTCATGGTGCTGGTGGCCGTCATCGTGTCGATGCGCATCTTTACCCGCGCCCACATGACGAGCAACTTCTTCGCCGATGATGTGCTCGCCATCTTTGCCGCCGTCTTCATCGTGGTGTCCGCCTCTTGCGCGCTCGCAGCGACGCGGTTCGGCCTTGGGGAGCACGTCTGGAACCTGCCCCCCCCGCTCGCGCTCATGGAGGAGACGATCAAGAAGTGTGTCCAGGTTGGTGGCCCGTCCCCTCACGGTGTCCCATGGTGCCCGGCCCCCTCACGGCGTCCCATGATGCCGACATGTCCATCCGCTGACCGGCTCCAGCTCATGTTTGTGGCGCACATCTTTTACGCCGCCGCAACCGCTTTGACAAAGCTCTCCATCATCACGTCGTACCTGCGCATCTTTCCGCATGACAGCCTGCGCGTAGTCCTCTACGCCACGGCCGTCATTGTGAGCGGCATCGGCGTAAGTGCCATGTTTGCGACCATCTTCCAGTGTCAGCCCGTCCACGCTGCCTGGGACTTTCGGGTGGCGGACCCAAAGTGCTTCGAGTTCACCCACTTTCTGTATGCCAATGCCGCCATCAACATCTTTACCGACTTTGTGCTGGTCGTGGCGCCGCTGCCGTTCTTTTGGTCGCTGGCCCTGCCCTTGAGGCAGCGGCTGGTGATTATGGTCTTGTTTGGGGCCGGATTCGTGTAAGTTGGACCGCCGGCAAGTCCCCCTTAAATTGCTGACCTGTCTTGTAGTGCATTTGCAGCAAGCATCGTCCGCATTGTCACGTTGCAGAACATGCAGGGGATCGACGTGACCCGTAAGTGTGGACGGAGGATGTCTGTGAACATACCGCTAACAACACATAGACTATCTCGTGTCGCCGCTCAACTGGACGATTGTCGAGTGCTCGCTGGGCATCATCTGCGTATCGATCCCGCCGATGCGGCCGCTTTTCAACAAATTGGCGCCGGGGTTGCTTGGGAGCCGAGGGACAGGGCACGGGAGCCTCATGACGAGCAGGGGCATGGGCAAGATCCCCGAGGAGGGGTCATCGCAATCGCAGTTGAGGTCGCCTCATGACGTCAAGATGTTTCTGGAGGCGGACGACCGAGGGACCGAGTTTGAGATGTCGACTCATTCGCGGGTTGGGTCGAAAACAATATCGGAATCACCTTTGGTGGAACAAGACTCCAAAAGGAGCTCCCAAAGTCCTGTGTAAAAGAATTCAACATGGGATAATGGATAATTGGCAGGCAGGCATCATGGACAAGGTCTGGCTGGGTTGGGCATACACAAACGGTAGAAGGGAGCAAGGGAGAAAAATAGATATATTTCTGTTCCTTGGTGTTGACTGTGTTGTATTGACATCGATATGTCTTGCTGTGAGAGGACTCGACAGATGGGATGGGCTGCGTATGGAAAGCGCCAAGAGGACGCAATGACCGAGCAGTTGATAGTCGATAGTCGATGTCGCGCCACGAATCGCGTCTGGCTGATGTTGCAACGTCGGCGTCGGCGTCCCCTGCGCTGGGTATGAGTAATGCTGGCGCGTGGAAAACTTGAGAAGCGTATGTAATGAGACGCGACAAATCATGGCGAATGATGACTAAGCTGACAGATCACGGCACACTTTTGGTGGTGGCGGATTACCTAAGCGATTCTTCAGCCGAGGGCCACTGAAATGAGGGGTTCTCTGGGACTCTCCCGGCTGCCCCGCAATATCATCACCACTGTGGACACTACAAGGCCGAGGCGCTGCTGCGACCAATTTCCGGGGCCCCAGTGAGCACTGGTCACCGTGTCACAGGCTGATGTTGCACGGCCTAGAACCGGAGGACACCTGCATCAAGACACCTGCATCAATTCGGGGTCATCCAGTTGTTCATACTGCCAAACTGCACCTATCGCCAGCGACGCCTCCCCAAAACCTCGAAAAAACACCACAACCGCCATGATGCCGACACACGAACAATGGCGATCCGCGTTGGACCCGACCCAATTGCCCTCCTTTTACTCCCCGCCCACCGCGCCGCAACGACGAGACGACGACGATGCCGACATAGCCCGGGCTGGCTTCTCCGTCTCGTCCCAACATGTCGCGCGCCCTGCTGTGTCAGCACCAACATCACAACCCCCCCAGCCGCGATCAACACCGGCATCGTCAGTCCCAAGTCATGACGCCGACGCCGCCTCGACCCGCTCCTCGTCACCCTCGCCCCAGACCCCGCTGAGCGACCTTCTGCCGCCCGCCTCGCTCGTCTCGCCCGCCTTCACCCCGCCGGCGACCCCCGGCACCTCGACGCCATCCCTCCTCCTCTCGGAGCCCCGCGGCGTCCCCGTCGACAGCTCCATCCCGACGGGCGGCTGCGGCACCAAGCAGCCGCACCTGCTCCCGCGCCTCCCCCACGTCGAGTGCATCGTGCGCGCGCGCATCCCCACCACCGGTGGCGCCGAGATGTTCCTGCACGTCTACCGCAACGACGTTGACACCAAGGACCACCTCGCCATCGTCTTTGGCGACGCCATCCGCAGCCGCTCCCTCGACGCCCCGCGCGAGGGCGAGACGGAATACGACCGCCTCGTGCGCGGCGCCTACACGGGGCGGCTGTACCACGGACGGACCACGAGCGGGATGCTCGGCCGGGCGGGTGGGGAGTCGTCGACCGAGGCGGCGCACACGGCGCCGCTCGTGCGGATACACAGCGAGTGCTACACGGGTGAGACGGTGTGGTCGGCGCGGTGTGACTGTGGTGAGCAGCTGGACGAGGCGGCGCGGCTCATGGCGCTGCCGAGCAGCAGCGCCGGCGGCATCATCATCTACCTGCGGCAGGAGGGGCGCGGCATCGGGCTGGCCGAGAAGCTCAAGGCGTACAACCTCCAGGATTTGGGCAACGACACGGTCGAGGCGAACCTGCTGCTGCGGCACCCGGCCGACGCGCGGAGCTACGGGTTGGCCACGGCCATGCTGCTGGACCTGGAGCAGCGCGACATCCGGCTGCTGACCAACAACCCAGACAAGATCCGCGCCGTCGAGGGCCCGAACCGCGAGATTGTCGTCAAAGAGCGCGTGGCCATGGTCCCGCTCTC